TGTGCCGTGTATTGTTATGCCACACATGTAAGGTCTTGCATTTATCGATTTTAAAATGCATTTGCCAGTCTTCTGACCATTTGTGTTCATGTAGATATCTTTGTAAGGCCTCGATATCCTTTTCGCTTTTTTTACTTTACCATAAATTCTTCGTCTCCACATGTATTATTTCCCCTCTCCGTAAAGTCTGGAAGAAAATATGTAAGAATACCGGTAAATTAGTTTCCAGACATAGCACTTGTCCTTCACCTCCGTGGTTCTGCTGAAGCAGATCCAGTGCTGGTCAGAAATGAGCTGAGTTTGCACTCTTTATCCATTAACTCTGGTTCTCGTCTACCTCCAACTGTCCTTACTCGTGAACACATTATTGAATCTCCCCGTTTACACTTTTATACGCTGCCTCTGCCTCCCGCTATAGTGATTTCTTCACTTCATGAACACCAGTCCACCTTGTCAGGTTTCAAATCCCAGGCGGGAAAAAATTGTTGGGCATTATTCATATTGCCTAATGCCTCTGTTCACCTAATTGTAGGTACCCAGGAGTTAGTCAGCTTGTTGTAGGGTTGTAGCCTAGGCGGGGTCAGTAATTCGACCATGGGAGGGGGGAGGGGGAGGGACTCGATATCAAAATTCAATATTCAAATGTTTATTCAGGTAAAAGTACATACATAGAAGTTTAGTTACAAACATAATGTTGGATTTATAGATAGATCTAGTACATACAATACCTAAAGCCACTAATACGCACAGCGTTTCGGGCAAGGTGTGGGGAAAAACACTTAGACTAAAACTTAGTACTAATTAAGATTAAAGTATAAATTGTGTTGACAAAATGAATACAAAAAAGGGGGAAAACATGGCAAAAATCAGCAATTATACAAGCTGGTCAGCAAACAATATTGTTTCAAACTAGCAAGACATGGGTTGATATTTAGAGGGTAAGGTAGGTTACAGGGAGTTTATTTGGTAGTATTTAGTTTTTCTCTTAAACTGGTTGAGAGAGGTACAGCCTTTGACATGATTGGGAAGGTCATTCCACATTCTGGGTCCCTTGATTTGTAGAGCATTTCTAGTTTGGTTAATGCGCACTCTTGGAATATCAAATAGGTATTTGTTTCTGGTGTGATGCCAAGGGGTTCTGTTGCAACCTTCTAGGAAGCGTTTGAGGTCAGGATTGATATTACAGTTCAGAGTTTTAAATATATAGAGTACACAAGAGAGAATGTGCAGTGCCTTAATATCTAACATATTCAAAGATTTAAGGATACCGAGTGCTGTCTGGGGCCTGAGTTAGATATTGTCCTAATAGCAGCTTTGTGTTGAGTAATTAGAGGAAGTAGATAATTTTGGGTAGTAGAACCCCAAGCACAAATACCATAGTTGAGATAAGGATAGACGAGAGTGTAATAAAGCGTCACACTCTTACTTAAATCTTTGAATATGTGAGATATTAAGTCACTGCACATCCTCTCAAGTGTACTCTATATATAAGCCTAATGTGTATGAATACACTCTGGCTTCCTGTCCCCCGACATAATGAATTATTATTATATCTATAACAGAGCTGATCTCATCAAAACTTTTAATATACTGAACAATTTGGAGGATACTAGTTGAGACAACTGCTTAAAAATGTTAGCTAACTTTAAATGTATTTGTTTATGTATTTGTATATACAAGAGTTGTTACATTCTTGAACAGCCACTAGTACGCGTAGCGTTTCGGGCAAGTTCTTAATCCTATGTTCCCGGGAATACGACCCCCACGAAGAATGGCGGGGATCGTAAGTCGTTGTGAGGAGCGTGGCGCCTCCCTCATCACACACTACTCCCCCCCCCCACCCTCACCACACACTACTCTCTCCCCCCTCACCCTCACCACACACTACTCTCCCCCCTCACCCTCACCACACACTACTCTCTCCCCTCACCCTCACCACACACTACTCTCCCCCCTCACCCTCACCACACACTACTCTCCCCCCTCACCCTCACCACACACTACTCCCCCCCCCCCACCCTCACCACACACACTACTCTCTCCCCCCTCACCCTCACCACACACTACTCTCTCCCCTCACCCTCACCACACACTACTCTCCCCCCTCACCCTCACCACACACTACTCTCCGAGACTGCCCCCTCGCCTCTGGAGCTGTCACGACAGTGCCACCTACTCCTGTTGATGTAGCAGTGTCCAGCACCTCACATGACATTTTGGCAACTTCCAGCATTTCCACAAAGCGTTAAGGTACTCAGAGCAGTGCCAGCAAACGATTGAAATTATTTAGACAAGAAACAAATGACAGTGAAAGTGAGTTGGAAGAAACGAAATCTAATATAAATCCAGGTGAGTCAGTGCTAATGGTGAGAGATAAGAGGCGTGTAAAGTACCTCGATGATGATTATATATGCGAGTATTGCTCAAATGTTCCACAACGTCATACAGTTACGATGGAGCAACATGATGTGGAAGTGACAAGAAGCTGTAGTTATTGTATTATTTCAGTTTCACGACCATTGATGGTAAATCATGAGAATTTGATATCATTAGTGTACAGCAACATGTTTAATGGTCAAGGATATGTATTTTACAAGAGTATGTGTTACCTGGTTGATACCTGGTTGATACCTGGTTGATGGGGTTCTGGGAGTTCTTCTACTCCCCAAGTCCGGCCCGAGGCCAGGCTTGACTTGTGAGAGTTTGGTCCACCAGGCTGTTGCTTGGAGCGGCCCATATCAATAAAATGAAATTTGTGTCACAGGAGGTGTATACCACGTACCAGAAGATGATAAGAGATGCTGCTAATATGAGATGGGTGCATGCGCAAGAAAACACTCGCGGTATCATAGTCGACTATTACAGAAAACATTTAGATAGACACCCTATTGATGGCTTCCTTGGCATTGATGTGTCCTATGATGGATCTTGGCATACAAGGGGCCATCACTCACAAATTGGCACTGCTTTTGTTGTAGAAATATTCACAGGGATGGTTGTGGACCACAATACTTCCTGCAAAAACTGCAAGTGGTGCCAAGTGTTGAAGTGTCGTAAACAAACTGGGAAAATAACCCAGGCCGAGTTTGACAATGAGATGGCCAAACATTTACCAGATTGTGATAAGAACTACAATGGCAGTGTGAAAACTATGGAAGCGGATACTTCGGTGTTGATGTAGGGGTCGATCACAAAAATCTGTCTCAGGTATACGACCTTCGTGGGTGATGGTGACTCTTCGGCATACAATAAAGTTTGTGGAATGAACAATGGTGCTGGACCATATGGAGAAGTAAAGGTGGAAAATGCTGAGTGTATAAATCACTTCAGCAAGAGACTTGCTGAATCAGACTGAATCAAAATCAGCTGTCGAAGTGAAGGAGTCAAAAGGGAAGACCAGACGAATGTCACCGGTCAAAGGAAAAGGAAAACAAACTGACAATACCATTGTGAAGTTGGCAGATTACTTCACCAAAGCCATCAGGGACAACATCAACACCGACTGGAAACGAATGAGGGATGCCTGCCTGTCCAGACTGTTCTGTGCAGCGTCCACTGATGAAAAGCCAGTGCACTGCCCTAAAGGCAAAGACCCTTGGTGTTTCTACCAACAAGACATTGCAAATGAAAAGACCCCACGATCACACAAGATGCTTGTACATTTCCAGCTACCGAGTAAGCACATGGCTGAAGTTTTAAAGATCTACCACAATCTTGTATCGGAGGAAAACATGACTCAGTGTCCGAAGGGGACGACTCAGAATCTTAAATGAGTCTCTACACCACTGAGTTTGGAAACTCGCCCCCAAAGACAGATTTGTTGGTCGTGTAGTGGTTGACTTCAGCATGGCAGTGACAGCCATCAACCACAACGCCGGGTATATGATGGGATCTCTGACCAACCTCCTTAGTCTGCCACAGAATGACATGACTGATTGGTACTTCAACATGAAGGATAAGTTGATGCAGGACCCAACGAGACGCACCACCAAGCCGAGAAAGGCTCCTGAGGAAGCTGACCCCGACTATGGGGCAGGTGCCTATTAGGTGGTTAGCTCCTATAACCACCCGACTATGGGGCAGGTCTTACCTTGAGGACCCATATTTCGGACCAATTATGTTAGGTCAGTATGTTTTAGTGTTATATTTTGAAATTACATCATAAATAAATGTAAATATAAAAGTGCTGGCAAATATAATTTTTTTTCTTTTGTTATCGGGCGATTTTCATGGAACTTGCACACCTTACTGAACGTATGCCTATCTGTAAGGATGCCAATTTTGAAAGAAATCGGTCGATGTCAACCTTAGCCACAGGTGGTCGAACTTTAACCATATTTTGTTTAAGAAAGTAATTTACAACTACAAGGTGACTCTATTCTTTCATTTATTAATCAATTTACGTGAAACTTGCACCTTATATGTAGAGTTTATGCCTCTACAAATTGTCTTACCACTTTATTTCTAAGTCCATTTATTGATTTATTTATATTTATAAACATCATTTTGTTGCCTAATTTTTGGGGAAACTTTGAAAATTTGTATTATTGCACTAAATACATTTGTGATAATAATCCTAAGTAAAATCCTTTATTATATGCTAATGTGATAGCTGAGTGTCATAAAAATGATTTTAGTTGACACTTGTGCTTGTAGAGTCATTTTGAAAATGTTGAAAAATCGTTGAATATTACGTATTTTTTTCCTCCCTTTCTATTTAGGCCGTGATACTGAAACTTGGACCAATTGGAGCCCTTCTTACATATAACAAGTCAATAAAATTTGATTGCAGTTGAACAACTTTTAGTATCCTAAGTTATGGCCCCCTGAAGCGGGAAATGCCAAAACATTGCTTCAATTCAAAATCCAGCAGGAAAAATCATCAGGACAGATAAGAGACCTACTGATAGGGACCTGCTGTCCTCGTCGAGACCACTAACGAGATGGTGGTCCTCAGGTAAAATCAGGTAAATAAATTACGTTTTGGTCATCCTCTCCAGGTGGACTGACGAATTCCGCTTCTGTTGTCTGGCCCGACACGTGCACCACTGCCGGCCGCAACCGGACGAGTTCAGCTCGTGTGAGGACCTGATGACCAACACTGTGTTGAGGGTGTGTGTGTGGGTGCTCGGCTCCCTTGCCCTCTCCGGCAACCTCCTCGTCATTGTCTGGCGCTTCCTCTACCACACAGACAACAGGGTACGATTATGTATTTATTTACGTATTTACAAGACGGTACATTGGGTTTGGGAAAGCACATAACATTGATGTTTTTTACATTCTTGCATAGCCACTAACACGCATAGCGTTTCGGGCAACGCGACGAAGGAAAATACACGACTATATATAGTGCCTTATTACTGTATGCATGTGTATTTACTTTTTGGCTGCAGAATCGAGCTATTAGCTCTTGAATCCCGTCTTTCTAACCAATCTAGTTTTCCTCTGTTATATCTACTACATATATTTCTCTCAAACACACACACACACATGCACTTAGAACATAAGAATAAAAGTAACTGCAGAAGGTCTATTGGCCCATACGAGGCAGCTCCTATTTATAACCACCCAATCTCATTCATATATATGTCTAACTTACACTTGAAACAGTCAGGAGGGATATCCTACTTCTATTACGTTATGCAGTAATTGGTTCCACAAATCGACAACCCTGTTACCGAACCGTATTTTTTACCCAGGTTTTTACAAAATCTAAACTTGGACCCATCCTGTTTCTAGTATATGTAAACGATGTTCCAGAGGGTATAGAATCATTTCTCTCAATTCTTGCTGATGATGCAAAAATTATGAGAAGAATCAAGACCGATGATGATAGACAGAGACTACAGGATGACCTGGACAAACTGGAGGAATGGTCTAGAAAATGGCTACTAAAGATAACTCAAGAAAGTGCAAAGTAATGAAATTAGACGAAGGGAGCAGGAGGCTGAATACACGGTACTATCTGGGAGGTGAAATCCTGCAAGAGTCAAATAGAAAGATCTGGGGGCTTATATCACACCGAACCTGTCCCCAGAAGCCCACATTAAAAGGATATCATCAGTGGCATATGCTAGATTGGCCAACAAAGAACTGCCTTTAGAAACTTGTGTAAGGAATCGATCAGGACCCTGTATACCACTTATGTCAGACCATTCCTGGAGTATGCAGCTCCAGCCTGGAGTCCATACCTAGTTAACACAAGACAGAGAAGAGTCAGAGGTATGCTACCAAACTAGTCCCAGAACTGATAGGTATGAGTTATGAGGAAAGGCTACCGGAGTTAAACCTAACGTCCCTGGAAGACAAACGAGTAAAAAGAGACATATTTACCATTTTCAAAATTCTCAGGGGAATTGACAGGGGTAGACAAAGACAAACTATTTAGCACGGGTGGAACACGAACAAGGGGACACAGGTGGAAACTTAGTACCCAAATGAGCCACAAAGATATTATAAAACAAATTCAGTGTCGGGGTAATTAACAAATGGAATGCATTAGGCAGTGATGTGGTGGAGGCTGACTCCATACACAGTTTCAAATGTAGAGCCAAAGCTCAACCATTGTAAGCACAGCTAGGTGACGACATCTGCAGGAAGTCGCCCATAGCAGCTGTCTAACTCCTAGGTTCCTATTTACTGCTGGGTGAAATGGGGCATCAGGGTGAAAGAAACTGCCCATTTGTTTTCGCGTCTGCTGGGAATCGAACCCGGGCCATTAGGACTACGACCCCCAATCGCTGTCCACTCAGCTGTGTGTGTAACTACCTAAGTGTAGTTACAGGATGAGAGCTACGTTCGTGGTGTCCCGTCTTCCCAGTACCCTTTGTCATATAAAGTTTTGAAAGTACTGACGGTCTTGGCCTCCACCACCTGCTCACCTAACTGTTTCCAACCGTCTACCACTCTGTTTGCGAAAGGGAATTTTTTTATATTTCTTCGGCTGCTTTATTTAGTTAGTTTAAATCTATGACCTCTTGTTCTGAAGTTCCAGGTCTCAGGAATTCTTCCCTATCGATTTTATAAATTCCTGTTACTATTTTGTATGTAGAGATCATATCGCCTCTTTTCCTTCTATCTTCTAGTTTTGGCATATTTAATGCCTCTAACCTCTCCTTGTAGCGCTTGACCTTCAGTTCTGGGAGCCACTTAGTGGCATGTCTTTGCACCTTTTCCAGTTTGTTGATGTGTTTCTTAAGATATGGGCCCCATACAACCACTGCATATTCCAGCTTTGGTCTTACAAAAGTTGTGAACAATTTCTTTAGTATTTCGCCATCTATGTATTTAAAAGCAATTCTGTAGTTAGAAAACGTGGCATAGACTCCTCGCACAATATTCTTTATGTGGTCCTCAGGTGATAGTTTTCTATCTAGAACCACCCTAGATCTCTTTCTTTATCAGAATTCTTTAAAGATTTCTCACATAATATATAGGTTGTGTGTGGTCTATGTTCTCCAATTCCACATTCCATAATATGGCATTTATTCACATAAAATTCCATTTGCCAAGTGGTGCTCCATATACTTATTTTGTCCAGATCTTCTTGAAGGGCATGACAATCATCTAGGTTTCTTATCTTCCCTATTATCTTAGCATCAGCAAACATGTTCATATAGTTCTGTATTCCAACTGGTAGATCGTTTAAGTAGACAATAAACATTACCCGTGCAAGAACTGAACCCTGTGGTACTCCGCTTGTGACATTCCTCCAATCCGATACATTGCTTCTGATTACGGCTCTCATTTTTCTGTCAGTTAGGAAATTTTTCATCCATCTTAGAAGCTTACCTGTCACCCCTCCAATATGTTCCAGTTTCCAGAACAACTTCTTATGTGGAACTCTGTCAAAAGCCTTTAAGTCCAGATAGATGCAGTCAACCCAACCATCTCTTGCCTGTAAAATCTCTGTGGCTCGATCATAGAAACTGTGTAAATTCGTTACACAGATCTTCAAGATCGAAAACCATACTGTCTGTCTGATATTATATCGTTTTTCTTCAGGTGTTCTACCCATTTAGTTTTAATTATTTTTTCCAATATTTTGACTATTACACTTGTCAACGATACAGGTCTATAATTGAGGGGGTCTTCCCTGCTGCCACTTTTGTAGATTGGAACTATGTTAGCCTTTTTCCACACATCAGCTACAACTCCTGTACACAGGGATGCCTGAAAAATAAGTTGAAGTGGAATGCTGAGCTCAGGTGCACATTCTCTCAGAACACATGGTGAAACTCCATTTGGGCCAACTGCTTTGTTCTTACTTAGCTCCAAGAGCATTTGTTTCACTTCGTCTCTAGACACCTCTATGTGCTCTATGTTGTTCTCTGGAATTCTTATTGTGTCTGGTTCCCTGAAGATCTCATTTTGTTCAAACACACTTTGGAACTTTTCGTTTAATGTTTCACACATTTCCTTTTCATTTTCCGTGTATGTGTCCCCCATTTTCAACCTCTGAATGTTATCCTTTACCTGCAGCTTGCTTTTAATGAATTTATAGAAAAGGCCTAGATCTGATTTACATTGTCTGCTACACCGTTCTCAAAGTTCCTCTCTGCCTCTCTCCTTACTGACGTGTAGTTGTTTCTCGCATCTTTGTATCGCTGGTATGTTTGGGGGTTTGGCCTCTTCCTATAATGATTTCAGACTTGTGACTTTTGATCTCTGGCCTTCTCGCAATTTCTGCTGAACCAACCTTGTTTCCTATGTCTGCATCTCTGTTTTGGTATTTTGTGTGTGTGTGTGTGTGTGTGTGTACATTTGCATATCAGTACTTGCTTATTAGTGTCAAGTTGGCTGTGTGCATCCTGTCCTCAGACCAAGTTCATTCCATCCAGCGGTTGACCCCAAAAATGCATTAATGAATTTTAACATGCTGTTCATTCAAATCAGGACTTTTATCATATATAAATTAATACTATTTTATATTACCATATTGTACATATTTAGGCACTGATTAGGTTAGGTGTTTAGGTTCTTTTGGCGATTATTTGTAGTACTGTACGTGGGTGAAGCATTTACAGCAACCCATCCTCGACTTAAGTCCATTACATCCAGCGGTCGACCCCACAGACGCATTCATAAATTTTAACATGCTGTTCATTCAAAACGGGAATTTTCTCAAGTATAAATTAATATTATAATATATTAGCATATTGTGTATAAATAGGCATAGGTTAGGTTAGGTCAGGTGTTTAGGTTCTGTTGGCGATTATTTGCATTTGTAGTACGTGGGTGAAGCATTTACAGCGTTGTGGTTCGAACAAAATTCGTCAGTGAAGCACTTATTCCGAATATGTTCGAACGTCAGCAGTTGTGAGTCGTGTGTAAACCGCTTTTCATTCATAAACAGGGGGTTTGGCTGGTGCATGGAATCACTTTTGGATCTTTGTTTGGAGGACGGGCTGTTTACAGCGTTGTGGTTCGAACAAAATTCGTCAGGTGAAGCACTTGTTTCGGAAGTGTTCGAACGTCATTAGTTGTGAGTCGTGTGTAAACCGTTTTCATTCATAAACAGCGGGTGCATGGACATGGACCCATGGCTTTGGGTCTTTGTTTGGAGGACGGGCTGGTGTGTGAGCTAACTGACTGAGTTTAAAAGCGTCTATAGATCTGGCAATGGGTTGTCTGCAAGCAACAGCTCCACTACGCACAAGTTCTTTAAACTTAGTTGGCTGTGATATCCTAGTGTGTGGAAGGTTAACTTCTCAGGGCTGCTATTAATTGGCAAGTATTTTTTTACTGTTCAGGTTAGGTTTAATATATCAAGCATATTACTAATGATTGATTATTGATACAGTATTATGGTATTTTTGACAACACGATTTTTCACTGATATAATCGATTTCAGTGCTAGACTCAACCATCATAGTTTAAAGGGACACTTTTGTGGGTTCAATGAGTAGGTATATTTGTTGTCAGTGCTATATTAGTTCTTGTGGTGCCTTAACCCCTTAACTGTGCCAGCCAACAAAAGTCGTTCTGGGAGTTATTTTTT